GGGGGGGGGGGGGGGGGGGGGGGGGGGGGGGGGGGGGGGGGGGGGGGGGGGGGGGGGGGGGGGGGGGGGGGGGGGGGGGGGGGGGGGGGGGGGGGGAGGCGCAATGTACATGCTCCCTATTGCCAACTTACAGCCAGAAACAAGATCCCGTGAATCCAATACCAGGGGTCAGCAACAGACTGGTCAGGTGCCCTTGCCAGCCTTTGGCACATCGAACAGCCACCTCTCGCCTCCCTCGGCTCGCGACCGCACCAGAAACCACGCGACCCGACTCGAGAGCGCTTCAAAAAAAAAAAAATCAAGCCCCCAGCGCCCCTCAAAATCACACAAAACAATTCCTGTGTTACCCCCCTCCGCGTATGGCCTTCGTCCTGTGTCACTCCGTCTGGTGGTCCACAACTGTACCGAACGTGAAAAACAATGGCGCCCACACAAAAAAAAACATACGGATCGTGGCTTCCTCTCACCGTTCGGGTCAACCACCGGCAGAGCCCCCACCCGCATCGCCACGCTCAGGTTCATCGACGAAGCGTCCTCCACGGGAACGGACTGAACGACGGGCGCGCCACCATCGCCTCCCCCGGCATCACCACCGCTACGCGACGAAAACCTGGGACCCATGTGCCACGCCGACGGGGACCCGTGGGCGGATGAGGAGGCGGCGGCGGCGGCGGTGGCGGCGGTCGTCAGCGGGGCAGAAGAATTAACCGAAAGCCTGATCTGCATGGACGCCCCGACTTCGCGCCCGGACATCTCGAGCGCGTACCACAGGGACGGCGGGCCTGGTCCCTGCCACAACCAACTTGGCGCTTGTTCGGCGTCTGCTCCTCCTCCTCCTCCTCCTCCTCCTCCTTCTACTTCATTGCTGCCGCTCTTTGAAAGGCCGGCTACTGCTGCTGCTGCTGCTGCTGCGCCACCTTCGTCGCGGACAAAGTTAGACAAGGCTCGGGGCTGACCCTGCGGGATTGTGAGAACGTAGGAGGGAGAGGTGCAGCAAAAGATCATCAGGATTTTCGCGAGGTGGGCGCGGGGGGGTAGAGCGAGAGCGTAAGCTTCGGGTCGTTCTTATAAGGAGAGAAAAAAGAATAATACGATTACTCAGTCTATTGCGGTGGGCACGTGTCGACAACATTAGGGAAAACACGCGAAGCCGGTAGGCGTTGGCATCAACACGTTTTACTACTTCCACAAGCAGAGCAGCTATTTTTTGGTGGTGAGCACAGCAGAAAGAGAAGCGATTTCACACCTCGTGAATTCTCGCCGCCCCGTCTCTCCTCATCAGCATCGGCAGCTCGGCGCCGACACACGAGAAGCGGTGGGACTCCCTCGCCGCCGCCGCCGCCCCGTCGCCAACCCCCGCTTCTGCCGCCGCCGTCACCGGCCGCAGGTCCACACCTCCAACACCGACGGCACCTCGAGGACACGCCTGCAATTGTCGGGTGCCAGGGATGGTGTGCGGCACACGCGTGCGCATGCAACACACACACACACATTACACCGAGGGGGAGAAGGTACATGTATGGAATGGTGTATACAGAGGCAGATAGAAGAACGACGCCGATTCTCAACAGAGCGATTGGAAAAGTATGCAGCATTACTCCTACAACAGCTCTATTGCTACTTGCATGTGCGAATTGAAGGTATGAGAGAAAAAACGCTCCTGTGATGCAAAACTGCTGTGAGAAACGGCTGGCGATGTTGCAATCGCCAGAAAATCAGCACAGCCCGGCGTAGCCATCGCTCCCATACGGAAGCAGATAAGCACACCCTCGGCATTGGGACGCCGTGTAAAGGGCGTCGTTTCGGGCACCGCCCTCCCACAAAGACCGTGTCGGCTTCCGGGGGCAACATCCGGCACAATGAACGACGTGCGTGCGACCACACGAAGCCTCCCCAGGACAACCTCGACTAAACCGCCAAATTGCGCACCAACAACGCAGCTTACTACAGCAGTGCTGACGACCTCCATTCACAAAACGCTCGCGACAAGATTGAGAAATTTTTTTTTGAGCATTCACCGCAACAAGTGTAGATAGACACAACAGCATCCATTCGATCTCCGCCCCCCCCCCCCCCCCCCCCCCCCCCCCCCCCCCCCCCCCCCCCNGGGGAGAAGGTACATGTATGGAATGGTGTATACAGAGGCAGATAGAAGAACGACGCCGATTCTCAACAGAGCGATTGGAAAAGTATGCAGCATTACTCCTACAACAGCTCTATTGCTACTTGCATGTGCGAATTGAAGGTATGAGAGAAAAAACGCTCCTGTGATGCAAAACTGCTGTGAGAAACGGCTGGCGATGTTGCAATCGCCAGAAAATCAGCACAGCCCGGCGTAGCCATCGCTCCCATACGGAAGCAGATAAGCACACCCTCGGCATTGGGACGCCGTGTAAAGGGCGTCGTTTCGGGCACCGCCCTCCCACAAAGACCGTGTCGGCTTCCGGGGGCAACATCCGGCACAATGAACGACGTGCGTGCGACCACACGAAGCCTCCCCAGGACAACCTCGACTAAACCGCCAAATTGCGCACCAACAACGCAGCTTACTACAGCAGTGCTGACGACCTCCATTCACAAAACGCTCGCGACAAGATTGAGAAATTTTTTTTTGAGCATTCACCGCAACAAGTGTAGATAGACACAACAGCATCCATTCGATCTCCGCCCCCCCCCCCCGACCCCCCCTCCATCACCCGCGAAACCTTACCTCCGTGAAGGCGGCCGCGCGAAAAACGAAAGCGTCTTTCCCGCCGGCTGCGGACGTGCACGCCTCTCTGCCCCCCTCCCCCTTCCCATCGTCTCCCCCTCGACGGGCGTCACCACCACCATCACCACCGTCCGGCACCAGAAAGTCGGCGCTCCACTCCACGTGTGCCCAGTCGCGCTGGAGGGACATCACCTCCAAGCCCCACCCTGTCCCGCTGTATATGTTCTTCTCCTCTACCTCTTGTCCGACGGCGGCGGCGGCGGCGGCGGCGGGGGGCGACGCAGCAGCGGCACGGGAACTTGGCACACCCCCTCCCGTCCCCGGGACCCCCTCGTCTTGTGACGCGGCGGACGTCGTCGGGACATCGGCGCCTACGGTTGATCGCCGCAGGCTTCGCTGTTTGTGCCCAGCAGTCCCGGGGGCGGCCTCGCACGCTGCACGAGCCGTCAGATACCACCGTCCAGTCTAATGAAAATGTTGTTTTGTGGTGACGTTCATGTGTTACCCGGTGGACGAACGATTGTGTTCGTAGACCACCGGACGGAGGAGGAGGAGCAACCAAAGCAATGGCATCGTGGGGACGAGAGGGGGGGGGGCGCGCAGGGGG